TAGTAAAAATTAAATAAGATAGAAAATATAAACACTGAAGCATATGATAGTAAAAAAAAAAATATATATCTCTCTTTCATTGCCTTAGATAAGATAATAGTGTTTTTATTTGTTACTTTTTCATAATCCTTTCTCTTTTATCGACATAAAGCCGGAGCTGGGTTGCCTTTGACGATTCACTGTCATGGGAACTCATGCTATAAAAACTATAGTCGTGAATATTTGCAACGCAAGCTTGTAAGAAGATTCTGCTTGCTTAACTAATCTATCTCAACTTAAAACTAGCAAAAAGCTAGTTTTTGCTTGTAATACTCTTACTCTCCTTGTATTTCACTTTCCTTTTTTCCTAATCAAGGATGGTGCCATTCAAATAGCTGATATCTAATTCATACAGCAAACCTATGGAATTTGGCATTTATAAAAAAAATATCGATTGTAAGAAAGGATTTACTTTAATAAAAAAAATAAAGAAGAACAAACTTCGCAAAGTTTAATTTTTTTTGTCCTTTGAGTAAGAACTAGTTGTCAAATTTTATTAGCTAGAACTGGCAAAAGATTTGTTATGTATGTTTGGCACTCAGAGATAAAAGTTTATTTTAAAAAGATATACTACTTTAAAAAGGAGCCCTGTTAAGCAGTTGATCATTTGGCGTCTGGAGTGACTGCAGAGACTATAAAGATCAATGATAAATATATCATCATAAGCATCGACAATTCTACCAAACACATTTTCTTCGGCTATCAATCGATCGCGCTTCATCTTCAATGGTCAAGTAATTCCCTTTCATGTTGGTGGGGTTGATCAGACGAAAAGTGGACGCGCCAATTATTATAGCATTGTAAAAATGCTGCAGTGTCTTCAACCTTTGTGAGATAAGCCAGGAGGCGAGCAAGGCAGGATGGTATACTGATGATACACAATTCCAACATGGTATACAGCTCGGGTGATGGTTGCGTGGTCAGATAAAACGTTACTTCATAACCTATTGCTCAAAAGAATTAGGGGTCTTTGTTCTTTTTCTTTTTTTTTTTTTTTGGCTGTCTTACCAACAATTTGAGCCGCTAAGCAACCGCGCATGGGCCATTTGTCAATAGAATTCTTGGATAGCATACCCAATCTAATCAGATCCTTTGATATTGCTTGTTTGTTCTCATTATATGAAACAGGCTTAATTTCCACAAAGCCAAGAGAGGCATCGAAATAGAGCCTATGGGACTCCAAGATGCAGCTGGCTAGCCTTTTCTTGGAGATTGAATCACTATTCAGCGATCTTGATTCCTGGCTCGTCACGCTTGCCCTATTCAATATATGTGCCGGTTAATACAGACGCATTCACGCTCACAAATGGAGACGTATTGATGTTAACCATCGAAACAGCATGTCTTCGTCTGGATTATCGAAAAGTGATGATAAGAATATATTCATGTACCTGTAGCATAGTTGACTAATACTACTGGTGCTGCATCTACTCACTACCTGTGATGTCGCCAACAAAACTTTTCAATGTGTAGTGCCACGCTAAACGTGATTTCATAAAGTCACCATCTTGGTTTGTGTTTATTTTCAAGAAAGAAATAAAAAAAAAAGAAATGTTGTCATTTCTTTATTTATTCTAATTTTATGTTGTAAGTTTGGTCAATAAAGAACCAAATCAATCACGTGCAATTGTTATTTATTCGTATTTACATTATTTCACTGGATAGCCTTACATGTATGGGAGAAGAAGCGCCTGTAGCATTAGCTGGCATAGTTCTTGCAACGTCTTGTAGATAATTTGCAAATTTTCTCTACCAAAGATACTCTCCATATCTGAATGCCAGAGGTCATCTTGTACAAACAGAATGTTGGATGATGCTCTTGAAAATAGTGTGTATATATAAGAAATTCATTTCCTTGTTTACTTCACTTACATAAACATGTTGCTACTTGCAGAATATGCTGAACACGTTCCTCCATGTTCAGCTCGTTCTGATTGTTAATAGCCACCATTTGGAAAGTATAGAACAATAAGATGATATCCACATTACCAAAGCGGTATTGGTTTTGAGCAACTGGGAATTGGATAGTTGATATTATGTATGACACGTTCGTTGTTGATACGATGCACTGGAGTTATGCATCTCTGGCTCTGTGATGCTGTTGTTCGCAGATCTATAGAATACATATTCAGCATCAATGACATACTACTTCACGATCAGATTGGTTGTACTTACACTCCCTTGGATATAGTTGTATCATTTCCAAAAAATGCAACATCTCTTCGTCGCATGGTCTGCTTCGTTTGGCTAAGATTTCAAGTTCCTGCAACTTATATATATTCTTATTTCGCCGCTAAAAGTAAAGAAAGTATAACAAACATTAGCGGAAGGATGGTCGTCGAGCGCTTTAGTCATAAGAGGAACCTAAGCTAGACGCTCACTGAGAGATGCGATTTGTTGATAGTGTTGTATTATTTCAGACTTTGGCAGCAGAACGCTTCTGCCTGTAGTTGTTTCAACATTGGCATAGTATGGTAAAGCGGAGAGAACGCTTTTAGCTAATCATTTTTGAAAATTCGACATCATTGTGCTGTTGCGCTGAGAGCTCATGGGTGTGCGTAGTGTTCCCAAAAAAAAGCTCAGTCACTTTTAATGAGGCTCAAACCTTGACATTTTGTAGGTTCACCTTTCATGTTGTTTCCAGTGTTAACAAAAGGCGGCTTATTGCATAGTAAGCATGTATGCCACCAATTCGTCAAACGTAAGAAAGCGAATATAGTTTATGCTTAGAGAGCTGACAAAAAGGAATAGTGTTGCTTCGTAGTCAAGCATACAGCACCAAAACAGTGTTTGACAAGCAATCCATTCAATTCTTGAGTAAACATTTGAAACAAGCATTACAAAAGAAAGATATCGTTTTCTATCAGGCACCTCCAGGCGTCAGAAGAACATTCAATTGGATGTACATTTCAGCAGGTGTTCAGCTTATGTTCTGGTATGCACCTCTTTTTTTGTTATTATATTATTCGTAATAACATTCAACCTTAGGGGAAACCTAGCAAGCTTAGCTTATGTCGCCTATGCAGTCAAGGATGGGTATGTAGTCTAGCTCAAGTCATAGACGAATGACTGATCTGACTTGAAAGATAAACATAGTGATACAGAAGATGCCCCGGTCGTGTTGGCACCACAAGGAAAACGCATAGCTATTGCAGGTGGGTTGGTTGGTGTAGGTGTTGCTATTGCAACTGTTATGTGCCTTTATCCATGGAGGTAATGAAAAAAAAAAAAAAAAGAAAATAGACCTGCGTTAATGACCTAATAATGATGTTAGATACATTGATAAACTCGTCTTGTTAAAAGGAGGAACAACAGCTAGACTTATGACTCATGCTCGTTTTGCTAAATCACACCAGGTGAAAGAATATCCTATCGATCAACTCTACTGTAAGCAAAAAGTATTCACTGGTGTTGGTAAAAATGGCACAGATGCCATAGGAACTAAATCCAGCTCATCACATATATTTTTGAATGCCAAAGGAGAAAAAATGGCATATATGCTAGATAGAAAGGGAACCTTTATGGATAGTAAACTATTCGATGGATTATGGTACAACAATCATCAATAGAAGAAATAAACAATAAAAGCTTTATGTATAAAAGTATGCTAAGCATCCTATGATTGATTGATGGCTGCTTGTTGTCTCCATTGCATTTGTTTCGTATATTCATAAATACAGATAGCACCGCTTACATGGACATTCAAAGAGCGAGTAATGCCATACTGAGGAATCTCGATAGTAATATCAAGCATCTGTAAAAGATCAGCAGGAACACCTTGTTTTTCTTTACCCAAGAGCAAAACGCATTTTTCTGGAAACATATATTCTCCCAAGGTTGCACTTGTTGTTGTTTGCTCTAAACCACAAATTGTATAGCCTTCTTCTCTCTTCTCCTTTAGGAATTTAGCTACTTCACTTTCTGGAACTTCAGTCATGGGCATCCACCTCTCAGAAGCAACACTCACACTAGTGAAGCCAATGTCTTCCTTGATCTTTAGGGTTGGCACAACGAGTAATGAAGCATTAAAGATTTCACAGGTACGACAGAGACCAGCGAGATTAGGCAATCGATCAATCAAACTAGCAACGACAATCAAGTCATTACGACGTCTGTTCTTCTTGACGAGATTCTTTGTGAGATCCATATCTGTTTCCAGCATCATTTCCCAAGGCATGATCTTTTTCTGATACACATCTTCAGAACTTTGATTGGAAAGCGTATCTATCGTTGCCATAGCATCGGGTTGCTCTGTGCCAATAAGCTCTGAAGGATCTGCTGCTGTATAAACTGATCCTCGTTCAGGATTTTCAAATGGACATCTCTTTACTCTCTGAGGATTAACTCTTACGAACGCTTTCTATAAAATACAGATGAGACCTTGTTATTTTGTAACGATAAACCCTTACCGATCCTATCTTTTCATTATCAATAACTTGAAACTCGGTCATCATTTGACGAAAGATGAATTCGACATTAAAATCCTGGATAGGATCAAATCTTGCCATATAAAACTGTGCTTGAATTTTATCAAAGAACTTAATGCAGTCAACATATGTCTCCATAAAGTTGCCAATCGAGTCAAGGTATCTGTTGTTTTCGAGCATGGCGCCATGACCACGCTTGATACAGGCCTTCCAGTTGTGTTGCCAGCCGCAATAAGCAAAAAGACGTATCGTGAAGTGATTGGTGATTAGCCATGGAAGCAGACGAATAAAGATTTCATCAAAGTATCCTTCTATGCATGTCTCTGGTAAACATTGGCCAAGTGTAAATGAAAGAGTAAGCAGTGAGATCACGTAGTTGGGCTTATGTGATGTATCGGATAGTTTTTGGTAATAAAGAGGTAGGCGATCAGGGAATCTACAAAGAAGGCGAATGATAGACCACTCCAAATAACATCGGACAGAAGTAACAGTTTCTTTTCTTGTAATTTCAAACAGAATTTCCAAACATGCGTCTACCTTGTCTTCAGATACCAGGTCGATGATGAGAATAGTGGAACAGCATACTCTTAACTACAGTAAAGGTGTTATTAATAGTAAACAGTTTGCATTCATTTTACCTTCAAGCGATGCTCAACCGTATTTGTGTACATGTACTCATATAATGCATCATTTTCCAGGATATGGAAAAATGAAGTCAGGAGAGTATTTGCAAACTCTCTGTGCCTTTCATTATTTGTATCCAATCTTAATAAGATATCATTCATGTAAACTCGTACAAGGTAATCATTTTGATTGAACACACTTGCTGCCGTTCTTTAGAGGGAAAAAAAAAAAAAAAGAAGGATAAGTTACAAAAGAAAACTTGCTTGCTAAGCGCTTACCCTTCAGCCTCTTCAAGTTCTTCTGATGTAGCAATTTTTAAAGAGATGGCAGCCTCTAACTTTTGATCTTCACGGTCTCGCAATGGGCCAAAGACAGCGAGTTTAGAAAATTCAGGTGCATACTGCTGCATGGATCTACAGGCATCTTCTGTAAATGTAGACCAGTAACTGTGTAGGTGCTTGGATGCTTGAGCAACAATAAATGGCTTAAGGTCGCCAGTGTCAAGTACCATATGAAGAGCCTAAGAATATAGTATAAGGAAACACTTCTGTTTGTTCCTTTTCTCTTTTGGCCTACTTACCTTTTTTATAGGACCATTTTCTTCATTTAACTCGGGCACACTCAAAAGCTCGGGTTGAAATATGACATTGATAAATGCTTTGATAAGCAAAGGAAACGTCTTGGATTGGTTGATGTTTTCTTTCATCAGTTCAATTGCAAGATCAACACAACGGCTAACAAGCTCAGAGTTCTTTTCCCATGGAAAGGCAAAGAGTGGGCCAAAGCTGCTGATAATTGCCTCACCACACATTTCTGAAGCACTTTCCAGTTGATCGATGGCTACCTCGTATAGTTCGACAGGATCAAAGCATTCCTTTGTAACATTGCTCTTTCGGGCCTATATCAGCTTAGTACATGCAATCAGTCTCTGAGATGAACTTACAGCATTAGCATACAAAATGATGCTCTCGACGCACTCCCATTTATATCGAATAAATGATGCAATCACGTCTCCCCATGATCTGATATAATAATAAGTATTTCCATCATTTATATACCTTTGCTTACCTTTGTTGAATAGCTTCTTGAGTACGCTTCATCGGTAGACCATGTACCAAAGAAAGTGCCTGATCATCATAATCCAGACTGTAGTAAGATAGATCTGTGGCAGCTTGATAGAGTATTCTTAGTAACTGAATATGGAATGGCTTTGATAGTTCCTTATTTGGGTCTACAGCTATAGTTAATTGAGTATTTAACTATCTATGTGTGATCAAGTATTTACCTGAACTACGATGTTTTAATAAATCAATGCATTTTTCATAATAAGTCTGAATAGCTTCCGTTTTATTTTCTAATTCGAGAGCACTTTCTTTTCCAAGTATCCTTTTGGTCAATGAAAGATAAAGATCGACTACATCCCCATCTATAGTAAAATAAATCAACTGCTTCAATAATAATGACAACTTGGACTTACCAACAACATTTGATTCTTCCTTATTAAGATATTTTCCTTCGATTCTTGCTAATATATACAAAAGTGCATCATCATCAAGGTGCACAGCCTTTGTAAAATTGAGCTGGTTATCAAAGGTGGCCTCAAAGTTCTCCCACAATGACTCCAACAGAGTCAGTAATCTAGAGAACATAACATCGGAGCTAATAAAAGAAAGCTATTAGGATCATCAACATAGTCTGGTGTATGTCTTTACATGGATGAATCTGTCAGATGTATCAAGAATGCATTGAGAAGATCTAGTAACTTTTCCTTGTCAACATGACCTTCATTAGTAGAGACGGCAAAGACTGAGGCACGTGCAAGTACATTAGCTTGTGAGCGTAAGACAGTTTCTGGAATATCTATTTGAAGAAGGTGGAATAAGTTGTCTATATAAGCATAGATATGTCTCCTATACCTTCAGATTTCAATTCGCATACATATGTCTCTATACGATCTTTTAATCCTTGTCGAATACTGTCTAATGACTTGAAATGAACATGATTATTTTATTGTTTACAGTTCAGTCATAAAATGATTACCTTATTTGCAGATACATCATTTTCAAGCCAGTATCGAATCATTCTGAATTCTTGTGATGAGGCCTTTATAGGATACTCGTTTACAAGCGAAGAGACAGTCCTGTGTTGATAATTAGCCCTTTTCTCTTTTTTATATTAACCTCGTCTTACTTTGCGATATCAGAGAATGATAACGTTGCTGTATGAGCAAGTCTGACGGTAGCAGCAACACCCAATTTACGCAAGAACTTTTTAGTAGTTGGAATGCTATCAGATGCTTCAGTAAATAGAAACGAGCGTATCATTAGTAGTCCTTACTTGAAGTTTCTGTGACGATCGACCAAAACCCTTAATGACTTTAATTCTTCTGGACCCCATGCACTGACACGATCCACTTCAGCCAAAGCTTCCATAGCATAGAGGATAGGTGCCGGGCTGCTTACGACATGAGAAAAATGGTGAATAAGTTGTCGCAAGAAATTGACCTTATGTTCTGTCTGCAAGGCCTGTACAAGACGGTAGATGAATGCTCTGAGATGCTCTCCAAAAGGACTAACGAGGGCCCCTTGTGTAGGTACTTGAAATAGAGAAGTGTTGTCAACCGTTTTGAATAGTGCACCAAACATGAAGCCTTGTTCTACGCCCATTTTATGCAATGTCTGAGAGTTTTCTCTGGAAAAGATGTATTCTAGTAAACCTCTTTTAACAGAGGCTGTCTCATTCTGGAATCCACGATAGAAAATGAGTGTCCACCAAGATGGATCCATTCCGTTATCTGCATTTAATAGACTTTCAAACCGATGTAGCACAGGATCGACGAGATGGATGACGCTTTCATGCATAATGTCATACAGCAGAAACCAGTCCTCCCAACAATCCGAGTACTGCTTGGTTTTATCCACATTCCATCTGAAGAATCGAGTCCAATCGTTTTCAGTCTTGGTAGCAATGGTGGAGGGATATTTTTCGGTAAAGTCAATAATTCGCTTAAGAATATAAGCAGAGTACTTTCGAGCTAATGAATCATTGCTTCGTAATCCACTCTGTTAATAAGGGTGCTTTTAATGTATAGCTCAAAGAAGAGAGGAGTATTATATTTACTTGTAAGATCATAAAGAAGCTTTCTTCAAAGCGAAGGTCCGTACGAATATCCGGTGTCTGCTTTCCTTCATCCAATCCAAAATAAAAATCAAAGAATCGAGCGATGAGCCCATATATTTCTAATCTCAAGAGATTGGTAGCAGGAAGGCCATACATTTGAAGCGTACGTTGCCATAACATCTAGAATATGCATAAGCCCGGATGATCAGTAAGAAACACTTCATGCCATAGTACTTGCCTCACACCAATAGATTTGCTTTCCGAAATCTTTGTTATGTTGCTTCCAACGGAGTAAATTTGGCAATAGATCATGTGCTAATTTGCTTCGTACGGTAGCATCTGTACACGGAATCATGGCCGTTGCAATACTAAAGATTAACTCTATCCAATGATCCATATCATTAGCGCCCATTGTCTTTAGTTGTTCATTTTCATTTAGATCTCGTATAAAGTAGTTGAGTATGTTCAAACAGCACTCAAGTTCTATAGAATTGTCCTTGTGCTGTTGAACTTGCTGCCACTGTTCACTGCATTCTAGTTTATCAACACATGTCTCGATAAATTCAATCGGTTTTAAATCAACAAAATCAGGCTCGATGGTCATGATCGACACTAATTGAGAAAGAAGCATCAAGATGGTGTCCTTGCCAAATTGATATCCTGTCAAAAATGATTTGACAATAAAAAATGCGACGGCATTTTCCAATAAGTGAACACTCTCTGTTGACACGGTTGATTCATGTGAAAGACTTGTCAATATCCAGGGTTTTAAATATGTCTCCAAAACACGATTCCCTTCGTCAATATCTTGTAATCGGTTCAAGTAGGCTTTATAAACCGGGATCAAGATCTGTAATGTGCCGAAACGAACCTTTTCGTCCTGTGCTTCTGTGTATTGTTTATCAAGGTGTGATAGAAAGTTGAGTAGCTGTTTATCTTCTGCATTACGGACAAGTAATTCTTGGAATGGCACGGACGTAAAGTCCATTTTGATGTTCGCTGGAAGTAATAAAAAGTTTTTTTTTTTTTTTTCTTTTGTTGCTTTTGGACGGAGATACAAGTATGCGGGTACCAAATACAACAATGTGTCTATTGTTGTATTCCTGTAGAAAGCCCCTTTTTTAGTATTATATACCATATTCACAATTACATAACTCATTCTTATACAAAATATACGAGCAAACATTGTATACAGTCATTACAGAGAGTGTAATCGCTGCTTTGGAATTTGATTTAATAAGCATCTTTAAACGTCTGTTCCCGTTAGTGTACGCCTTGATGTTTAATCCCCGCACTGATCATTCAACTGTTTAAGACAACCTTTGCTTCTTTCTTGGAAAAAAAAAGAAAAAGAAAAAATAAACATTCAAAATAACGGGAGAAGTGGGATGAAGTAAATGGAAAGACAGAACACTGAATTTGTATTAAATACTACTTCTGTAGCTTACCTCCGACAATGCATAGATCTAGCTCATCAACCCCTGATTCCGTATCCAAGAGACAGCAATCCTACAATCCGGAGAAAGAACCAATAAAGGCAAGACCAAAGAGTTGGAATAATTGTTTGTTCTCACCTCTTTATAGTCATATTTACGTCTTCGACCTAAATCTAATGATGACAGCCGAGACAGTGATCCATACATCAAAATACTAGATGACTACATGGTCTCAATGATTCCACCAGCTGTACGATATATATAAAAAAGGACACGACGTATAGATATATAACAAATCATTTGTAGGATTCTAACGCATATAGAACCAGAAATAAGACTCCAGAGAAATACAGATTCACCAAGATATTTAATGACACAACAGATCAGCAAACATTCTTTAATGAAACAACTTTGCCACTTATTCAGGATGCACTCGATGGAAATAATGCGCTCATATTTGCGTATGGTGTAACGAATTCAGGAAAGACGTACACAGTGATGGGAAAACCTGAGGATCCTGGATTGGTACCTCGTTCCTTGAGCTTGATTTTTAATAGCATCGATCAGTACAAGAGCGAAACTAAAGTAAAACAGTATACAAAATTCATACGATGAATACTCATGGATTCTTTTTATAGTTGAAACCAGCTATGCATAGTGCAACAGTTGCGTATGATAATCCAGAAGAAGAGAATAGACACCTTCTGACGCTTTGTAATGTAAGAAAGTCATGTTGTGACATATAACAGACAATAACATCAAGTGAATGTGTAGGTTCAGGAACAGTCAATAAGTGACCAAAAGATCAATGTTGATACAACATTTGAATATGGGATTTGGATTTCATTTATCGAAGTTTACAACGAACAGATCTTTGATCTACTTGATCCAACGCCAATAAAGCCAGGAGCCAAAAGAAACCAGCTACATCTCAAATATGAACAACGTACAGGAAACAAATATGTGGCAGACATGAACCTTATTAAAGTAAAGTCAACCCATGAAGCGCATGCTATACTGTCGTTTGGACAACAGAACAGACGAGTATTTTCTACAGCGATGAATCAAGAGAGCAGTCGAAGTCATAGTATATTTACAATACATATCGTGAGATGTCCTATAGATCATAATAATTTTGTATGTGAAGATCCTCAATATGCCATTCTATCAAAATTATCATTTGTTGACCTGGCAGGATCCGAAAGATATAGAAATACGCTTAGTTCAGGTAATTATTAGATTTATGCCGATAATTACCAACAATCTAAACATGCACTAGGCCAAAGACTAAAAGAAGCTGGAAACATCAATAAATCCCTCATGTTCCTTGGACAATGTATGGAAATGCTTCGACTGAATCAAATGAAGGGTGAATGGAATAAGGTAATACTAGATACAGATATCTCTTAAAAGATACTAAACTACTCGAATCATCAGAGCACTGCGGTCATACCATATAGGCACAGCAAACTAACCGAAATGTTCAAAAGCGCGTTCGAAGGCGACGGAAAGGCGGTAAGGATCAAGGGAGAAAACATGAAATGAGATCTTTTAATTCTTTTTTCTTATAGGCGATCATTGTCAATTTCAATCCATTTGACACAAGCTTTGATGAAAACAGTCATGTTATGAAGTTTTCAGCTGTGGCTAAAGATGTTACGACAGTACGGCAACTGAAAACATGGGTTGATCCAAAGAACATTAAATCGACATCAAAGCGCCCGCGTGTTGAGTTATCTACGGAAACGTTGGAGCAAGACATCACCTCAAACTCGTATTATGATAAGGCTGGTGAATACAAATCGTTTTTGGAAGACTTGATTTCAAAATTAGAAGAGATAAAGAAAGAGCAGAGTTGCATTGACGATATTCGGAACCAAGCAAAACAAGAAGCATTGATGGCATCAGCTACACAAGAGGTATGTCTTCATGATTCTCATTATAGTTTGTCCCTTTTCTTACAGTATGAACAGCAAGATATAATGCAACGTGAGCTTGAAAAGTTAAACACAGATACGATGGATGATCAGAATGGTAAGACTTGGCGATGATGAAGATACAAGCAGCAAGCTAATACACTTTTTTAGTGCATAATAGAGCATTACTTAATAGAGTAAATACAAAATTATTGAAGATAGTTTAAGTGACTTACTGTGTATAATTTAGCTTTTAGAAAAGCAAAAACTGATCATTGAGGAGATGAATACTTTAAAATCTAAGGCAGAAGAAGAAAGATTAGAAAAGAAGAGACTTATGGAAGAGGTTTGGAATAAGATCTACAGAAATGTAGTTACTCATACTTGACGTTAGATACGCCGATTACAAGAGGGTCAAAAGAACACAGAATGTTATGATAGCATCAGTAATAAGCAAAATATTCTGAATCCTAATACAAATCTAGCTAAAGAAAACCAAAAAAGAGATGATGAAGATAGTGAATATTCGAGATTAGATCCAGAAAGAGACGGACTATCCGACGAGGATGAAGCATTCGCTTCCTTTCTAAGGCTAAGAAAACAGTTACGACGAAGCATATTTAAAAAGGACGTGGTAAGTAGTAGTGCCTCAAGCTGTTACCAAATTCGTTACTTACATCTCATTGACAAGCTCTGTGAAGATACAGATGCGATCATGAAACAGATAGAAGCATTTGAAGGAGTCACGTTTGACCTAGCCAAGGTATTTTCAAAAAGCAAACACTGGCTTATAAATATTAAATATGGACGCGAATAGGAAACTAAAATGGGAAAACTACTAAAGGTGATTGCCTCTGAGAAATTTGAAAAGGACCCTTTTCAGATACGAACTAGGGCATTTCGACTATTCAAGAAATATGCGCAACTTGGTAGTAAAGTTTCAACGCCACAGTCACCTTTACCTACCACTATAGATGAGGCAAACTATGAAGTAAGTGAAGATAATAGAGCCATTCAAGAGCTACAGGAAGAAAACCTGAAGTTAAAACGTCAAATCAAGGTAAATCAATTCTTTATAAGCATGCAAATTAGTCCTAATGTTGCAATGATTTAGTCAATAGAGGAATGTCATCTTAAACTGAGTCAGATAACTAAGGATATCTTGAACCGATCTGAATGTCAAGGGAACACAGCTGATAATGAGAGACATTTATCACAAGAAGAGGTTGGTATACATTTCATAAATATGAGTCATATATTTACTGATGGTATTACATATTAGCAAGCTACCGACAGGTCATTGACCAGAAATTCTCCTGCTTGTTCTTTGACAGAGGAACAAGAAGCAAGCGAAGACGACGTCATTGATATCTTTGAACAGAATAGACCACTAATTAAGCGACGGTAATACCTCTTGATAGCTATATAGACTATTATTAACAAATCTTTATATAGAAAACTAAGGACACGATAATCCCTATTCAAGCAAACTATAATATAAAACAACACCCATACCACATATAAATACTCGTTCCCATCTTGTGTATATTTGTATTATTATTCCATTTTAATAAAATATTACCTCAGTTCCCATTTTAACATTTATCTACTTTGCTTGCAGTCGAACTTATCTTTTATGATAATGGTAAGCTGAATACAGCTTGATAAATATATTGATAGGAGAACATCAAACCTGGCTGAGGAGGCAAACAAATTATCTCAGTGATACATGAGTCATGTATTGTTTACTTGCAATAATAAACAACAAGATTGTTAATAGTATATTACACAAATCTCTTTTCTGCGCATACATATTATTAAAATAGCTCAAACAAAAGAGGGGGAGAACAGACTGTTTCAAACAATGTACAACCAAGAAGAAAAAAAGACGATATACGGTTAAACAATTTTATTTATTTATTTATAAAATATAAAGGCCACAAGGGGCACGTGATATTTTTATTATATTGTCTTTGCCCTGGCCAGTTTAAGTTGTAAAGCAGTATCTAAAAATCCCTCTGGGCTCGAGGACAAAAATGCTTTGGCTGACAAATTCACGGAACAAGTGTTAAAAAACACTGCTATGAAGAATTAAATAACCATTTAATCAGTTTCTGCCCTGGGTCAGATGGTGATGGTGACTCTTTTCCATGGTATATGTGATCAAGCTCATGTAAGATAGCGCAGATTACGGGCCATCTGATAGTCCAAAACGATTTTGTTTGAAAAGAGTGTGGTCTTCGAGTGGGAAGCTTATTTAAAAGGAGGGATAGAGGATCAGTTATAGACTTCGGTATTTGTAGACGGTGATGCATGTCGAGGCAATAGATGGCATGTTGCTTTGTAAGGAGCTGTGAGGTGTGTCGAAGGCAGCGAGTAGTGTTATAGCTGGGTAACCAACCAAGACGCCACTGTATGCATCGGCTTCTTTTTAGCCTTGTCATAGGTAACCAAAGGATTGGATCCAAAGAGATTGTTGGGCGACACAGTGAGAGCAGATTTGAGCTGCGTGCGGTACGCCCCTGTTATAAAAGCATGGACGTTTTACAAATTTAATAAAGACCGGAGCATTGTTTGGACCTGCCAATTATTACAGTTTCCTGTTAACTTTTTATTTTGAATTCAACACTGTATTTATTGTCCATTTTTTTTTTTCCAACGACTGTATGCATTCTTGAGACTAGCATGTGTGGAGTAATTTTTGAAATAACCTTTGCGGCGGCCATCACGATAGCAAGCTTGCCAATTCATCCTGTCGTCGCCAATTTGTTCTATGTAACCCTCAATATACTGCCAATTTTTGCTGCTCTCGTCGGTGGCTGCGGAATCGTTGATTGATGATGGTTGTTCAGGTGGGATGGTTTGCAGGTGAGATGATGTTTCTGGAATGCTGTTTTCTGGCGGCGGGCTTCTTAATTCACGGGCAGATGAGGTGGTAGACAGTGGCATAGATGGTGATGATCGACTTGATACGAATTGGCGCTTGCATGTTCTTAAGAAAGCCATCCCTTCCTTCAGATAATCGATCGTTCGCTTCTTTGCGTTAGTATCCTGGACATCGTCGTCAAGCATGTCTATGGCTTTGTGATATCGCGACTCTGCATCCTCAACGACACGTAAAAGGCAACCTGCCATTGATTCATCCACCGTAACCTGATTTTGAAAAATGTGCTTTGCGCTGGAGTATAAATGCTGAATGAAGGGATCATGATGATGAACATGATCGGCCAAGGATTGCTTCTGCTCGATGAAGAACGAGCCAAGAGCGACAATTGGATCCAATGGTGTTTTCTCCATATGCGAAGAGATTGATTCTTTGCTCAGGATGAAACACTGATTTGCCCATGGATATCATGGCAATTTGAAAAAAAAATGGCTTTGACTTGTTCTTGATTGCTTTGCTCATAATCTGGCTCCTGCATTCATGTATGGCAATTACAAGAATGACAGGTGACGCCCCATATTCAGTGATAATTTCTTCACAGTATCGCACAACATGATGCAGGAAATTGTTGTCCACAGCGTATTGTATTTCGACGAGTACAGGTAGCATATCTTTTGAGTTGTCCTGTAAACAATAAAACTATTTGAATAAAGTTGCTTCTTTCTCTTTATGTCGTTTACTAGCTCTTATTTATGTTTAGAACCCTGCTGGCTTCGTTTCAAGTAAATGACAATAATTGAATTACTTTATGGTAAACAATAAAACTAATCACTGACTTGACTAACTTTCCTTTTCTTTTAAATAGACTTGAAAGCTTCAATAAAGGACTCACTTGTGGTAAAAGAAATAAACTCCTTGGCTATGGTTGCTCAGTGGCATACAAGACATCAGATCTCATTCGGTTTGCCCATTCGGTGGGTCTTGGCCAATAATGGCCAATGGCCTTTCGACCTAATACAAACAATAGGAAGAGCAAATCAGTGTACAATGAATTCCAGTAGAGCAGGTAGGAACTTACCAATCACTGCTTCGATGATGGCGCTTTTCACTTCATCGGTCTGTAAAATGTGTTTGCTCATTAGATCTGTTCCGGGACGGTTGGCAAAAGGCAAAAAGAAAAAAAGCGCATCGGTTTCACCCTCTGTTGTCATGACAAAAAAAAAAACTGTTGTCGACAACGTCAGAAAAATAAAGGTGTCGACAACAACCCTTTGGGTTTTTTTGGAGAGGGCGGCTTTTATGTCTTTTTTTTTCTCGATTCCAAAACTTTTTTTTGGAATTGGCTGATCTTACAATAAAAAACGAATATATATTGCTAATAGCAAAAGGTTGTTAATGGTGTGTATTCACTGTTGCTTGCTTACCTGATCTGTTTCGCGGCATTATTTGCTTCAATGAATTGGTTGATCATTACATGGGTTCTTTTTTTTTTGACATTTATCCCAATATTTGTAAGAATGTGAAACGAATCCTTTGAAATGACTTTTATCTACGCTTTTACAAGCTCCCGTAATTCTCTTTGTTAAAGTGTCTTCTTGCAAAAACCTCTGGCGCTTAACCTTACTCTTCACAACTGCCCAAAATTGTTCTATGGGGTTAAGTTCAGGAGAGTAAGTAGGAAGACATATACTTATATCCTCGATACTCAATATATTTCTTTATATTTTCATGTTTGTGAATAGGTGCATTGTCCATAACTACGTAATGACCTTTCATATGCGGATACTTGTCCATTTCACCAAGAGTCATTTTTAGGAAACTGATATAGTGACCTGTTACCGTTCCTAAGCTGAATTATCCTTCAGCCTTTCTCTTCTTCGCAGGTCTCGGTTTTTTTACGCCCACTGCAATCAAATCTGATGCAGAAATGGCACCCAATATAGGCGTAGTATTCGCTCTCGTGGTAGTGGAAATCTGCAACATCCTTCGCCGCTACCACCATCTTACTCCAGTACTAGCTTTTCTAGATATCAGATCGGTATATGATACTGTCGATCGCCGATTTATATGGAAGACTTTAGAAACAACAGCACCGAAGGCGATTATTTGTCTACTTCAGAATATTTTCGATGAAGTCCAGATTGAAGTTCTGTTGAACAATGCCACTTCCTTTCGATTTTCCCCTATGACCGGTGTCCTTCAAGGTTCTATTCTCTCGCCTTTCTTATACTCCATTTACATTAATGAACTCCCTAAACTACTTCGTCCATGGCCTATACCACAGGACATTTTGGCACTCCAGCTAGTCCCATTGATCAACTGCCTTTTATATGCGGACGACGTAGTGCTCATTGCTGACAAAGAACACGTGAATGATCTGTTGAGAATATGTGAAGATCACAGTTACAATCTTGGCTATAGATGGAACCCTAGCAAATGTGTAATTTTAAACCCTACAGATCGATCACTTAATTACTATCTTTATTGAGACCTGCTTCCGACTAGAACCTCTTTTTCTTATCTTGGGGTCCCTTTTCGTCCTGGAGGTTATCTAAATACATTCGAGTTTCTTACTAACAGCATAAACAAATCACTAGCGACCATGAATCAATTGGCTATGATTGGCCTTAACCCCAATGGTCTCAGCCGACTGCTTGCTACTCGTTTTTACAAACAAATAGTCCGATCTCAATTTGAATATGGTCTTGCTATTAGCAAGGTTAGCTCTCTTTTGCTCAGCAAACTGGAAGACGCCCAAAATACGTGTCTACGCAGAATATTTGGTGGTTCTTGCAGATCCTCTATAAAAGTAATGCTACAACTGACGAAGCTGCCGACTATGACAGAGCGTACCCATATACTACAAGCGCAATTCCTCGTACGATCTCTGTCATTGCCAGATGATGCGCTTCTGACTTACTTACTTCCACATATACGCCTCTCCACAAGTCATTCACAGTGGTATTCTATATCAAAAACGCCACTGTGGAAACGTTGTGCGCAATATACTGATATACTAGACAAACGATTATTAAAGAGGATACGTCTGCAATATCTGCAAGACAACGTAGAACAGCGGCGTACTGCACGCAGCTCAAATCTGCTCTCACTGTGTCGCCCAACAATCTCTTTGGATCCAATCCTTTGGTTACCTATGACAAGGCTAAAAAGAAGCCGATGCATACAGTGGCGTCTTGGTTGGTTACCCAGCTATAACACTACTCGCTGCCTTCGACACACCTCACAGCTCCTTACAAAGCAACATGCCATCTATTGCCTCGACATGCATCACCGTCTACAAATACCGAAGTCTATAACTGATCCTCTATCCCTCCTTTTAAATAAGCTTCCCACTCGAAGACCACACTCTTTTCAAACAAAATCGTTTTGGACTATCAGATGGCCCGTAATCTGCGCTATCTTACATGAGCTTGATCACATATACCATGGAAAAGAGTCACCATCACCATCTGACCCAGGGCAGAAACTGATTAAATGGTTATTTAATTCTTCATAGCAGTGTTTTTTAACACTTGTTCCGTGAATTTGTCAGCCAAAGCATTTTTGTCCTCGAGCCCAGAGGGATTTTTAGATACTGCTTTACAACTTAAACTGGCCAGGGCAAAGACAATATAATAAAAATATCACGTGCCCCTTGTGGCCTTTATTTTTTTTTTTTTTTTTTTTTATAAATAAATAAATAAATAAAATTGTTTAACCGTATATCGTCTGTTATGTATGACGTACTGTATTTTTCATCAAGGCGCCTAGTCGCGTACACGGGATACTTGCGCGAATTCAAATTAAAGTAATCGTTTAGGCGTGGATAAACAAAAAAACAAGCAAACATTCAAGTAGGAGAGAACATGATATTCATATGAATATTCAAGCAAAACTTTCAGATGTTGCATTTATTTGACATGATGTTTATGGTCATATTAAAATATTTACAGTCTAAGGCTCTTTCTCGGCGCATTACGATCCAGCCAAGTCTGTGCTCTATCTAAATCTTCTTGTTCACTTTCAAGTGCCTTGACACACCATCCCAATTCAAATTTGTGTTCAGTCATATCGCACAATATCTCGGCTAAAAATTTCTTGCGTGTCGTAGACTCGTCTACACAGAAATAGAGTTCTGGCTGGGGGTCTGACTTGGCTAGTTCTTTAGGTAAGTTTTTAATAAGGGGTATCAGCATACTTGCAGCTGTAGTTGCATCTTTCGGGTCTTTGGTACAGGTAGCACAGTACTACATAATCAAAAACATCGTAAGAGGACTCTAAAAGAGTGTATGTTTGTTGTTTGTCTGTGTACCTTATTTCGGCAATAACTATTTCCACATCCTACGGTTAACTGCGAATGCAGCTTTCGTGCAACTTTTTGTATCAACCTGGCATTTTTAGGGTCATCTTCAGATATCCAAAATGGACCAAAACAGAATTGGCACAGTGAGAGCCTATTCTTTACTCGGGGCCTTGTACAGTTTTGGTTACAACAGGCAGGGGGTAATGTCTGCTGTTGACGCTTGACCTCGTGTATCTTGGCATGAACTTGAATGTCTTTGATGGGTATGGGCTTGTTGCATTTTTGACATGTAATCGTACGTGATCCACAGTAACTTTCATGGGACCTTAATCCCAGCAATCTATCTCTCGCATCCAGTGAAACAACTCCTTGTGCGGTCAATGTCTATGATGATAAATAAGTATGCGATACATCATATATACAACAATACATACATGGCAGTATCGACAAATAATCATCTTTTCGGGACAGTCAGTGCTCTTGTGTCTTGCCAATGCATCATATGTGTTGCTTGTAAAAGTATCACAGACACACGTCTTTGGTGTATGGTAATACTCAATGTGCTTGTCTTTATCATCCGTGGTTCCCGTATGCTCGCACTGATCACAATGCCAGTGCTTTTCTAGTTCCTCGCTTCCTTTTTTAAAAACTTTTCCGCATCCCCAAGGGCAAGGTACATTATTGCGATGACAGAATCCCTCATGTAATAACACTGTACGCTCCAATATCCACGCATGACAGTTCTTGCACTGGACTTTATTTTCTGTACTTTCTGGTTTCTCGCTGATGTTATCATCCACTTCCATGCTTCCATCATCTTCTTCTACCTTCCAGGACGCGATTGAATTTTTTTTATATCCATGTAAACCAACGCACAAGGTGTCCGATGACGCATTATTTATACGAATCGTTCGTTCACTATCTGAGCTTAGACTTGCCCATTCAAAACTGTCTACTGTCGGCTTTTTATCTTGACTGCTTACAACAACATCTATACATATACGCATCTACTTAGTCTTCCCATTTCTGTCATATCAGCTTATATAACCACCTACCTATATCTCCCGCTTCTACATCCAGTACAAGCTTCACAAATATGTTTTGAGGTATTTTAACTGTCCAATATCTATATGATTTGTAGGGCACTTCGACATTTGACTGGGACTCATTTAAACGAATAACCATAGGTTCACTAGATGGATGCCAATTCTTCTCTTGCTGTTGTTGCTCTTCAGCTGCTTCAATATCTACTTCTAAATCGGTATCAGTGATTGACACTGCGTCCTGAGGTTTCAGCTCTACCACTTTAAACTGATAGGTGCGTCCACCATACCGACAGGAAAGAACCTGACCGGTAGTTAGAGTATTGTAATGCCCACGAAGATGAGCCTCGAGAGCAGCACGGTAATCTGTAATCTCTTTATAATCTACCGATAATGGTTTCAGCTTTGTCCACGTGCCCTTGGGTAGTAATCGCAATTGAATAAGCACACGATCGCCTTCTTTTAAATCAAGGGCAGACAGAATCCATAGCGGTAATTCAGCCGTGTCAGAGGAAGAAAACTCCTTCACACCACAATGGATTGTTGCGTTTGTGTGGGGATGGCGTAGTTCAAATGTCAAAGGTGACGGTAATTGTTCAGATCCTGCTTTTGATAGTAGTTGTGTAAGTGCTGTTGCTGGTAATATAATTTTGTCTCCATGCTCAAGTTCTAGTTGTGCTTGTCTAACATGATAATATGATTTCCACACAATATCCTGTTGCTGTTGTTGTTGTTGTTGATCTTGCATTACGAGTATTCAAAGAAGAAAGAGAGAGAATTGTAAAAGCAGCTGTCTTTAATACTGTTCCAATGAAATTTCCGTATTACTAATTAGACTGGATTCGTAAGCGCTGTGCACAGACACTTCTATAGTAGGTAATTTGCCGAAGCACGCTCAGATGAAGTAAAGCTTACGTAGTGGCTTACTAAACCTGTAATGACAGCTTATATACGGCGCTGTAGGGACGCTAATTCCATTTCTT